ACCTTCCCTGACAAGAAGAGGAAAAAAATGTTAAAGACAGGAAAACATTAAGAGTGGAACTGAAGGAAGGAGGTAAGTGGTTAAGTTAGGGGCATTTAGAAGGCTAAGGGACCAGAACCTTCTGACAGTGAGAACCTCTGTGTGTGGGTGTGTAACGCATCAGCCAAGTGGGAGAGGAAGACACTGGCCATCTGGGACACTGACCCAGCCCCCGGAGGGCCTCACCAGTGACAAGGGAGGGGCGGGGGAGGGGGACAAGCCCTTACCCCCATGGAGCCTCCCTCAAGGTCTCCCAGCTCCAGAGATGGAGGTGGAGGTCCTGGGTCGTGCAGGGCCAGATGCTCCCGAGTTACCGGATCCGAAGAAACCCGCGCTTGTGTCCATGACCTGGTCTAGGGGCACCTTTTCTGTTGCCCTGATCAGCTAAATTTAAAATGTAATCACTCCACCTTGTAAATGATACTATCTTGGTAGGAATGAGAAGAAAGCACGTCTGTAAGTGAGGCTTCATGTCCCAGACAAGATGGAGCCTTAATGTTGTGCAGCCCCTCGGGGCCACTGACATCTCACATGAAAGGTCCCGCCTAGCGGCCCTGCCTCAGACCGCGATGCTTGATTCAGCCGAACCATCAGCTCTGCCTGTCAGGGGAGGGACCCTCTTCCCAGTCCCCAGGGAGAGCAGGGGGCTCGAGAGAGACTTGCAGAAGAGCCACGCTTGCTTTTTGGCTTTGGACTTGCACCACAGACCATGGAATCCCCAGCCCTCATTTTCCAGGCTGTGGTCTTGGCAGCCAGAGTTCCTGCTGGTCAAGCTAAAACGTAGAATCAGGCAGGAGGCCTCTCACCAGGGTAAAAGTCCTGGTATGAGGAACATACTGGGGAACCAGTATCTGCTGAAAACAGCAGGCAGACATGAGAGCCACATTATTTTGAGCAGCTAGAATAGCTTAGTTTAAAGAAGCAGAGGGACTAGAAATAGTATGCTTTGATTAGTGGGAACTATGGAGCACCCCAAGCAATAGTCCCTGGTCACCCTAGCTTGCACCAGATGATGATGCACCCCCACGCATGTACATTCCTCCACATACTTGCCTGTTGTCTCTGAACCTGGTTCTAAATTTGAGAGTGGCTGTAGATCGGGGCTGCACTTCTTTATATGTAAACCAACCCTTCTAGGCTTCTCTCACTAGGATTTTTAGAGTATTTTTCTCTCAACCCATGCTGCTTTCGATGCCGCAGCCCCTGAAATGACAGCCGACTCGGGGGACTTGGAGGTGTGGCGAGACATGTAGACACTTGAAAGAAACCTAGGGGTGAGAGGCAGGCAGGGAGGGTGAGGATGGCAGCCATTGTGTTGATTTGTACTTTGATTTTACTCCTTGCATCCCACACTTGACTGGCTCCACATGCGCACACTCCCTTTCTGCGCCCCTCATCAAAAGGTGTCTTAAGACTGGCAAGCTTTTGGGCCTCAGTGGCCCTGCTTTGGGCTAACTGTTTGGTGGACATTTGCCCACAAGGGGATGGGTAATGGGGTGTTTCATCAGGAAACTGCAATCCTTTCTTATCTTCTTTCTCAATGCACACTAATTCTATTAAAGTGCTTTTACACCAAGAGTCTGTTTTGTCCCTGTGTGTACAGGTGGCTGCACGCCTTTAGAGAGCAAGCTTGCAGGCCCTGCGGTGTTCCTGGTCTGTGCAGGGACACGTACTGTGCAATCAACTGAGAAACCAGCTCTGCTTGCCGAAGCCATCAGACTATGCAGTAAACATGGCAGCCTGTGGGTCTGCTAATCCTAAGCGGCCTATTCGGTCATTTTGTTCCCTGCAGTTCTGTGTTCCTGTACAAGGTCAGAACTGCCTGGTCAAACAGTCATAGGGGCCAAACCTTACCAGGTATCTTTCAAATCAACCAAGATGTGCATCCCAGAGCTATGACCTATGACCGGGAACACCCTGGGTGGGGGGTGTTGGCTGATGCATGACAAGGGACCCCAGAAGTTGATCAGTGGACTGCCTTGTTGATAAGTTTGAAACCTGGGCTGGGGACCTAGTGCTTGATCTCCATTACAATAAGGAGTCATCAAGCAGATGAGAAGTGCCTAGAGGGCAGACTTACACCCCCTGATTTTATAGACAGGGCACATTTTCTGGTTTTACCCCTCCCTTTTCTTTTTGCCCTCCTTCCCTACTCAAGTGATCTGTAAGATTACTCTATCAATAAAAAGACCAGGATCAGGCCTCCCCTGGTGGCACAGTACTGGGAGCCGTGCTACTCATGTCATCTGACAAAGGTCCGGGCACGGGGCAGATTCCTGAAAAGTCAGGATCTGGTTAGCTGACTCCTGCTAGAGTCTCCTCATTTGTTTATGGCTAGTTTCTACCATTGCTAAAATACGCATTTAAAAGTAAAACTGCAAATACTGATCAATTACTGAATAACCAGTTTGATGACAAATGGCACTGCGTGACACAAATATTACACTTTTTATAAAATTAGTAGTCCTATACTAAAAAGCAGCAATTCAACATTTGGCCTTACATTAACAAGTGAAAAAACTTCTGGGAACAAAAGGCTGTAAACATCCCTCCGCCGAGTCTTTTAGTATGGAGATGTGGCCCTTAAGGCAAAGGCTAGTTGGAGAAGGAAATTCTTTTACCTTAAGGTTAGTAATAACAGTTAAGTGTCAGAAGTGAACCAGGCTTTTAGTGTGAGATAACTCCTGATAAGCCAGGAGGTGTCATAGTCGACCCCTGTTAAATTATTCCTGTTTATCTAGGCCTAATTCCCAAGGATGTAGCAATTAGTATGGTAGCTGTTAGAGTAATCATTCAAGAATAAATCAACAGCAGTTTTGTGACTGATTGAGCCAGCTATAGCCATCTTTGGCCATGCCTCTGATGAAATATTTGTAATTACAAACAACGATCAGCAATTTTACAGAAAAAGAAATTTTCCCTCGATCATAAAGTTAGATACAAAAACTAGGCTGACTAGATAAGTAGAAGAGTTATAGGTAGAAAACTCTTTATTTACATTAGAGAATTTCTCCCTTGAGAGCTGAGGGCTAGGGAAAAGTCAGTGCGGCTTGCCTGGCTTTAACGCCCTCCAGGCCTTTAGTTCCTTAATATTCAATCAATATTAAAACAATATACTATAGATAATAACCTCTATATAACAGCCTTCTGTTTTTTACTTTAACCAGTTAGTTATATGTTAGTCTAAACTTTATAAGGTAGCTAGGAAAAATCCCTTTGACTCCCTTCCCCCCAGGTAACTTCCTGTCCCTTAGTTTCTCCTAGCCTCTAGTTAATCCCTTAAGCCATTTACTAGTTGTTTAAGGTAAAATGACTACTCTGAGAAACTTCTTTCTAGCAAATGTGCCTCCTTTAAATCAAATAATAAATGTCACAAGCTCGGCGACACTTTTGTTTAGCAAATGTCCCTCCTTTAAATCAAAGAATAATAAATGTCACAGCCTCTGCGAAAGGGTAAATAAACCCTTGTTGTTCTGGAAAAGATGAGATTGTTATCTTCCCAAAATGCATATGCTTATGCATTCTTCCAGTTTGCTTGAAATGTATAAATAAAGAGTTGCTGAGACTCAACAGGACGATGCCTGCACCCTGATCAAGTGATGTCTGCACCCTGATCAAGTGTCTGCATCTCCTCACTCCTTCCCCTTTCTCCCCTTTCCTCGTGACTTTGCCTACGCCGTCCCATCCTTCAAGAAACCCTGACACCCAGGCTGCTGTGGCAGGCTCGCAGCATCCAACCACTATGGAAAGCTGTCTGGAGGTTCCTCAGTCTACTAAAAATGGAGCTACCATATGACCCAGCAATTCCACTCCTAGGACACAAAACACTGATTCAAAAGAGCACCTGTACCCCTATGTATGTTTGCTGCAGCACTATTTACAATAGGTAAAACCTGGAATCAACCCAAATGCCCAAAAGTAGATGACTGGATCAAGAAGATGTGGTACATATACACAATGGAATACTATTAAGCAATCAAAAAATAAAATCTAACGCCATTTGCAGCAACATGGATGGAGCTGGAAGGAATTATGCTCAATGAAATTAGTCAGAAGAAAAAGAAAAATATTGGATGTTTTGACTTATAGGAATATAGGGGAACCAAATAAGACATTGGGGGGAAAAATAATAATGATACAAAACACAACAAAACCAAACCAAACACAATTATAAACCTGAGACATCCTGCAGAGGAGGGGTAGGGATCAGAGGAAGGAAGAGGGGAGCACAGGGGACAATGGTGATGGTGCAGGGGTGCATTGGGGAAGGAAATTCTATGGGGATTACACGAGGGGGGAAAGTTAACATTGTTTAAAAATGAACAATGATATAAAATATCTATAAATAAATTTTAAAAAAGGGATAAAGGACTTGAATAGACTCTTCTCCAAAGTATACATTCAAATTGTCAACAAGCACCTGAAAAGGCTTTCCACACTGAGGCAGCAATAGAGATACCACCTAAAACTTTCCATTTTGTTTTCAATTTCTTTCAACAGTATTTTCCAGTTTCTAGAAAACAGTATTTTCTAGTCTAGGGTCAGACTAGAACAGGAAAAGCCTAGGAGGAAGAAGGAAGGCTCCAGAGATAAGGGCAACAAATTCTAAAGGGGACTAATCAAACACTGTAGTACTAGGGGCAACAGGATAAACTGGACAAGGATGATAGAGAAAAAGGACTCTAAGATAAGGGCTGGGACACAAGATGTAATTCTGGCCACAGAGACTTTAAGGCAGCATGAGGGAGACCACAGAGCACTAACCAATCACAAGAGACTGATGGGGCTTTAGAATAATTAGGGAAAGAAGGTGCATATTCCAGAGGCCAGACTCTAGTTGGCTTCCTTGCCCCTCCCTCCCCTGGTTCCACCGGCATGAAGTCCCATTTTATTTCTATTCCTTTTCTCCTTAATACACTTTTTCTTTCTCTAAACAAATCTTTCTCTTCTCACTTGCTTACCTGAGGGTCAGCGAAGTTCCTGCTGCAGCTTCGTGAGAGACCGAGCTGTGGTGGTCTAGTGGCTGGGCCTCAGCACTGCCCCGGCAGCCTGAGGTCCTCTCCTGGCTGGGAATGAAAACCTGAAGTTGCGTTATCAACATCACCTGCCATTATGGAAATACAAATTAAAGTTATAATCACAACCCCCTTCGCATATGTGACAGTGGTTAAAATGAATACTTTAAGTAAACAAGTACTCTAAGACTACTTGTGGAAATGAAAAATGAGGCAGTCTATGCATAAAATAGTCTGGCATTTCCCCCAAATCCAGCCATTGTTGTGGAGTTCCAAGTTTTTTTGCAGGAGCCCACACATTATTAAGAGGCACTGTGGGAAGATTTTGTTAGCAAACATTATGTGTTGGGTATTGCAGATGATTCAGAATGTGGTAGAAATAGGAGTTTTTAAATTCCAAATTTTTTAATCACTTTACCAAAAAAAAATCTGTTAGAAAAGATGAATTTACTCAAGTCACAGAACACAAAATTAATATACAAAACTCAGTTGTGCTTCTATACCCTGATAATGACCTGACCCATCCAAAAGAGTCAATAGAACGGTGCCGTTTACAATTGCATCAAAAAGAAGAAAATACTTGGGAAAACATTTAGTGAAGGAGAAGAAAAACCTGTACAATGAAAAACTAGAAAATACTGTTGAAAGAAATTGAAAAAAAAAAATGGAAATGTTACAGGGCAGGGAGAGGGGCAGCCCAAACCCCGCAGACCTGCCTATTTTAAATGGGTTCTGCCATTCGCAGCATCAACACAAAACATATGTAACTTTAATGGGAAGGAACTTTAATACAATTAGGAAACTACAGAAAAGGCAAAGAATATAGTTTGTAAATGAAGCACCCACAGTTACCCATCCCCTCGTGGGTAAAACTCCATCCAAATGGGATTGGCCCAGAGCAAGGCCCCAAAGCCTGCCACAAGTCTAAAGCATCTTCCAGTGGGGACCCACAGAAAAGGGACAGAAACAACCAGACAAGCCCGGAAGGAAAAGAGCAAAATCAAAATCAAGATAAAAGCTGCCATGGTCACCTCCCCACAGGTCTCACCCACATCTGTGTCACCCTGTCCATGACCAAAAGACAAGCGCAGTTTCTTCATGTGTCTCTAGGCTCCATGTGCCTCCTCCAGGTCTCCTTCTGGCTCCATCCTGCTTCCTTCCTCAGTCTCCTCTGCAGCCTCTTCTCTCCCTGCTCAGCTCCACCCTCACTTGGGTGGGGCAGGGAACCTGGAACTTCCCCCTTTCCTGGGGACCACCCTGTTACAAGATACTTTGTGCTCAAGATTGGAATAATTAATATTACTGAAAGGTGCAGATTCTCAAAGCAAACTACAGATTCACTGCAATCCTGATTAAAATTCCGATGCAATTATCACAGAAGCTGATCCAACCCTCCTGAAATGCGTGCAGAGCACAGAGGAGCAGGAAGAGCCAACACTCCAGAGGGAAGCTGGAGGCATCTTGCTATCTGCCTTCAAACTGTTAACTGGACAAAGTCTCAAGTAAAGTTAGAATTTATTAAATAATTAAAGTGAGGACTTGAACCCAGGAAGCAGGCTGACAGATTTTCTTCCCAAAAAGCAAGAGTTTGAATTTAGTTTCTATGCACAGGAGCGTGATTCACGGGCGCTGAGAATGTCATTGTTCTGCAGGGGAGAGACCATTCCAGCCCGCCCCGACCTAGCCACGTGCTGATGCTGGAGGAGTCAATCTCCTCCTTTCTACAGAACACCCCGTGGAGAGGCCAAGGCTGCGCGCCCCGGGTTCAATCTTCACCCTCCGCCTCCAGGGGCGACAGCGGGGTGAGGAGCCCGCCCGGCTTCCCCTTGGGGACAAATGCCCGGGACAGAACAGGGGGGGCTGCTCAGGCCCGGCGTCTGGGAGGCGGCTTTGCCCTCCCGCCTGCTACACCCGGGGCGCGGAGCGGGGGCGTCAGCCCCAGACTATGTTACCTGCGGTCCCCAAACTCTAAGTGCACCGTGATAAACACACAGGGCAGCGGAGCAGAGCCCAGAAACCAGCCCAGGTGCCTGCATTTCAGCAGCAGGCGCCGGGGGCAGCGCGCGCAGAAGGAGCCTCTCCAGCCAGCGGCGGCGGGACACGGGGGTCACTCTCAGGAATGAACCCGGACCCCTAAGTTCCTCCAGCCCCAATAACGAAGCCCCAAAAGCTCCCCACCCGGTTTTCCTCATGCAGCCCCTCCCGCAGTGCGTCCTCCGACGGGGCCCCCTCTGCAGTCAGGCACCCACAGGGAGGTGTTCTCGCCTTCTCTGTCCTTTGGCTCACCTTGCTTCTCGAAGCCCAAGAAGATCCCCAGATTTAAGCGCCTCCCAGCTCAGAAGAGACCAGGCTCCCAGCCGGTACGAACCCTCCCGGCTCGGGGGAGCCCAATCCGCTGCGCAGAGGCCGGCGCCCGGGATGCGCGCAGGCGCGGCCACAAGGGCTGCGCCCGGGCCCGGCAGGTGTGGGTGAGCGGGGCGGACACCCCCCACCGCGCTCCAGGTGGGTGTGGCATTGGCTCCGAGCTCTGCGCTCTGCAGCCGCGGAGTCTTTACCCGGTCGCCCCGTCTCGGTTCTTCTCCGTGGTGTCCGCATTACCCGTCATGGCCACCAGGCGGCGCGCCTTGCCGTTGCGCCGAGCTTGGGCCCTGAGAGCCCTTAACATCCCTTCCCAATCGTTCCTCTGCCCCTTCATTCACCAAGGCCCCCTCAGTTATGTACACACTGTCATTTATTTAACCATTCCCTGAGATTTTCATTTAGATAGTTGACAATTATTTGTTAGAAAAGTGCTGGTGAACATTTTTACATATAAAGATTTTTATCTGTATTTGATTTTCCTTAGTCTTTTCCCAAAAACAGAATGACTCTATCAAGCAGTATAGATAGTCTTTATTCATAATTCTCTACAGAAGGATGGTACAACTTTATTCTTTTCTCAGGAGCAAATGAGAGTACATATTTCACCTCACCCTTGCTAAAATTTCACTCTATCTTTCAAGTTGTTTGGATGCGAACAGCTCACTAGACCCAAGTACACAAAAATTTTTATTATGTGTAAGCAGTATTTAACTACTTTATTTTTTTTTTAAAGATTTATTTATTTATACAAGCACTGGTCAGAAGCGCGGGAGGGTGAGAGAATTCACCAGAGCCAGAGCGGGGAACAGAACAGGCAGAAGGACGGAAGTACACTGCAGAGGGGAGCAGCGAGCGGCAGGAGGTCTGTCGCGCCATGTGGGCCCCTTGCGGGGGGCCGGGGATCGAACTGGCGCTGCAGAGGCTGCGGGCAGCTTCCCAACCCAGCGCTCAACCACCAGAGGAGGCCCTATTTAACTACTTTAGATCCTGAAAAATAAACAGCATTAGTTCATTAGTATTAATAAATGAAAAAAATTAGGACACCCCTGAATTTTAGGAGGTAAAATCTTCATTTCTTACTTTACTTATCAATCATATCTACATTTACAAGAAACACATTACTTTATTTAAAAATGTATAAGTTGATTTTTACATTACTTACTAAATCAATAATCAATTTAGATCAATATATTTTCAAGTAATTCTTTCAAATATCCATTGCATTCATCAAGTCCCTTTCACAGACTAGTATGCTGTGTGCCTCAAACATTCTTTATTGATCCTTATGTTATGTAAGTGCTCTAATCAGTTACTTCACCTAATTACTTAGTCCCCAACAACCATTCTTCACAAGCAATATATCACAGTTTTACAAGTTTTTTCCACTTCCTAAATATGTTCACTGCCATGGGAACAAAAAGAGAAACATGATATCTTACTTTAGTTGCATTACTTCAGAAGTTTTCTTGCTACAGTCAGAAAAGTTATTTTCTCTTATAGGTAATGTGATATCTAGGAATACAGGCCAAAATTCTCCTCAATATTAGGTACTATTCTAAAAAAGAATAACAGGGCCTCCCTGGTGGCGCAGCGGTTGAGCGCTGGGTTGCGAAGCTGCCCGCAGCCTCTGCAGCGCCAGTTCAATCCCCGGCTGCTCCCCGGCCACCGGAGGAGGGTCCCACATGGCGCGCAGACCTCTCCTGCTGCCCGCTGCTCCCCTCAGCAGTGTACTTCGGTCCTTCTGCCTGCTCTGCTCCCCGCTCCAGCTCTGGTGAATTCTCTCACCCTCCCGCGCTTCTGACTGTACCCAGTGCTTGTATAAATAAAAATAAAAAATAAATAAATCTTTAAAAAAAAAAAAAAAAGAATAACAGTATTGAGAAAATATTGAATATATTTCACTGGGTCATTTAAATAAAGTTAGAAGACAAATTTTGTGACAGATTCTACTTTAAAAACAAGAAATTAAAAGACATAGTTTAAATTTTTTAATGAAGAATATCTTCTTTCCATTGGAATTGCACCTCCTGTTTTTTTCCCAATATTTACAAAAATATGAAGCCTCATTGTCAAGTAAGGAAAAAATATTTTACTAAGTTTGTGACAATGAAAATTTTAATATTTTGATTAAATTTAATATATAAATTAAAAAAATAATATATAAATTTAAAAATATATATAAATTTAAAAATATATAAATTTAATAAAATTTAATATTTTGATTTTGATTTTACATGACTGCTTTCTTTATTAGAGAGTGGTTGGTGTTCAAACAGACTGTTTAACTCACATCTGTTACCAAGAACTCTGTGACCTCAGTATTAGCTAAATATGCGTTGATAGCATGACTGAATGAAAGAATTATTGACAGTTAGGTGGATGAAACTTTAATGGAGAGGCTTCATCATACTTTAATATCACAAGCATATTGACTCAATCCCATCCTAAGAGTCTTTTTTACTGCCCTTCTTACATTTTTGTGACGATGAAGATAGAGAGTTGAGGCTGGTGTGACAACAGTATAAAGAAGGCAATGAGCTTGTGCTGATCTTGAGACTCTTCTGATGGCGACTGGAGGCATACATATGCACATGGCTGGAATGGAAAAGTGGGACACAACCACCAGATGGGCTCCACATGTCGCAAAGACCTTCTGAAGGCCACTTGTTGACTCCGCCCTCAGCACAGCTTGTGCAATGGCAGCACAGGAGCTGAGGATGAGGATGAGAGGTGTGAGAAGAAAAACGGGGCTCATGACCTTGAGAGTCAGCTCATTCACATGGGTATCAACACATGGCAGCCACAGCAGTGCTGGAATTTCACATAAGTGATCCACTTGATGGTGCCACACAGGGGTACTCTGACCATGAAGGAGAAATGTAGTGCTGACTTGATAAAGTCACTTAACCAAGAAATCACAGACAATAGGCACAACCGTGGACACATGAGGACAGTGTAGTGCAAGGGTCTACACACAGCTGCATAGTGTCGTAGGACATCACCACCAGCAGCACACACTCTGTGGCGCAAGAGAAAAATAAACTTGAGTCATGCAGTCAGCATAGGAGATGGTTTTCTCTGAACTGCTGAGGTTGACCAGTAACTAAGGGACAGAGCTGATGGTGTAGAAGAGATCTATAAAAGAGGGGAAGAAGTACATGAGAGTGTGGAGATGAGAGTTCGGGTAATGACAAGGTAATGATGAACATATTGCCTATCAGGGTCATCACGTAGAATATGGTGATGACAACAAAGAGACTACTTCCAGGTAAGGCCCATTAGAAAAATTCAGTAGAACGAAGCAGCCTTCCAAACTAGCAATTTATTTCCCCTTCATCATTCATTTTTTCCCTGTATCTGAAGAATCACAAAAACTCAAAAATGGCATACTCATTATCAAACCCTTGTGAATTAATTAGGAAAAAAAACCTACAACATTTCCAAATCTGCCAATGGGACAATAAAATTTTTTAAAAATTTTTTTTATTTTATAATTTTATTTTTATATTCCCCATACAATCACAACCCCCTTATTTTGACCCCAAGCCCTCCTTTCCCCACCCCCCACCCCCCATAGAATGTCTCTTGTTCATAGTTATTTGTTGATTTTGATATTTTCTTTTTTATAGTTATTCTTTTTCCTGGTCCCTTATTTAAGTTTTCTAGATTCCTGCTATGAGTGAGACCATCCAGTATTTTTCTTTTTCTTTCTGGCTTATTTCACTGAGCATGATCCCTTTCAGCTCCATCCATGTTGCTGCAAATTGCATGTGTTTATCTTTTTTGAATGCTGAGTAATATTCCATGGTGTATATGTACCACATCTTCTTGATCCAGTCATCTATTTTTGGGCATTTGGGTTGTTTCCAAAGCTTAGCTATTGTAAATAGTGCTGCTATAAACATAGGCGTGCAGGTGCTCTTTGGAATTGATGTTTCTTTGTCCTCTGGGTAAATACTTAGGAGTGGAATTGCTGGATCATATGGAAGCTCTATGTTTATTAGGTCAAGAAATCTCCACACAGCTCTCCATAGTGGTTGGACCAGTTTGCACTTCCACCAACAGTGCAGGAGAGTTCCTTTTTCTCCACAACCTCACCAACATTTGTTGTTGCTAGTTTTTTTAATATGTGCCATTCTCACTGGTATCTCATGGTAGTTTTGATTTGCATTTCCCTGATTACAAGTGATATTGAACATTTTTTCATATGCCTGTTGGCCATTTGCATTTCCTCTTCAGAGAAATTTCTTTTTAGCTCTTCTGCCCATTTTTGACTGGATTATTTTCTTTGTTGTTGTTGAGTCTCATCAGCAATTTGTAGATTTTTGTGATCAGTCCTATATCATTAGTGTTGTGTGCAAAAATGTTCTCCCAGTCGGTGGGGTTTCTCTTAGTTTTTGTTATTGTCTCTTTTGCTGTGCAGAAGCTCTTTAATTTGATGTAGTCCCAGCTGTTTATCTTTGCCTTCACTATCAGTGCTTTGGGTGATGTGTCTGTAAAGATGTCTCTGATGTGCATATCATGTAGTGTTTCACCTATATTTCCTTCTATGTATTTTATGGTTTCAGGTCTTATGTCTAGGTCTTTAATCCATTTTGAGTTGGTTTTTGTGCATGGTGTTAGGTAGTAGTCAAGCTTCATTCTTTTGCATGTAGCGACCCAGTTTTCCCAGCACCATTTATTGAACAAACTTTCTTTGCTCCAATGCATATTCTTTGCTCCTTTGTCAAAGATTAGTTGACCATAAATCTGTGGGTTTATTTCTGGATTTTCTATTCGATTCCATTGGTCTGTGTGTCTGTTCTTATTCCAATACCATGCAGTTTTGATGATTATGGCTTTGTAGTAAAGTTTGAAGTCTGGGAGTGTGATGTCTCCATTCCCTTCTTTTTTTTTTCAAGAGAGCTTTGGCTATTCGGGTTTTTTTCTGATTCCATGGGAATTTCATCAATAATTGTTCTATTTCTTTGAAGAATGACATTGAAATTTTTATTGGAATAGCATTGAATCTGTATATTGC